ACAACACTTTATATAGATAACTTTGCATAAAGTTTTTGTAAATATAATATTAGTCTTATCTATAAGATTGTGACAGTATCATCTTGTCAACTTTGAGCATGGAAAAACCAAAACTTCTACTATAAAAAGACCTACGTCCATCCTTCCCCAATTCAAACAGAAGCAAGATAATAAGCAAGATTATGGCCAAGACTGTTAAATCTGTCCAGTTTTTGCACTCTTCCTCATCTTCGTCCTAATTGCAAACTGGGGTGAGTGACACTTTGTTTGATTGGATCGATACAGGGACGATGGCAGAAGTGCAAGAAAATCTTTGTGAGTGAGCTAGCCAAACATGGTCTGGGAAGTGTGGCAATACTGACCATTGTAACAATCGATGCAAGCAATGGGAGGATGCAAGGAGTGGAGCTTGTCATCAAAGAGGTGGCCATTGGAAATGCTTCTGCTACTTCAACTGTCCTCTCGACAAACATAATTAATAAATTATGCCCTTCTTGTTTGGGGTTGCTCGAACTTCTTGTTCGTAGTATAAAATAAGCGAGCTGGCTAGCTTGCTAATAAAGTGTTTCTATGTTGAAACACTAGCTGTGGTCGTTGATTAATTCTGTACGTTCATCATCAAAGTGTTCTAAATGAAATGCGCTATGATTCATATATATATATATACAAAATATTACTTGTTTACTGCCTAAAAATATCCAAACTTCTCTTCCTTTATCTGTTAGCTGGCTAGCATTCAAAGTATCTGATCGTGTATATAACATTCAACAAATGAAATCATTTAAAGCTGAGACTCTGATCGATCGGCCTATAATTGTTGACTAATTTATGAGTTGTGGATAAATCTTTTTACCAATGGCCACATGCACGGCAGCTATAGGCCATGCCATGGTAGTCTTTTCAAATTAATAATGTTAAAGTACTGTTCTCAGGGGAGATGGATGGACTTTTCTAACTTATGTCCTCATAATTCCAAATTTTTTGTGGCTTAATCTTCTTTCACGACAAAAGCAATGTAAAAAGATATCCAATGCGTTGTATTTTTTTATAGAATATTAATTCTATATTTATAAGCTTCTATACCAAGTCTTCCGTATAAAGTGATGTATCAGACCATGACAAGGAGAATTAATATAAAAAATAAATTTAATAAATACATAATAAATTATAGTAATTAATATGCCAATGCATGAATAGTATCATATCAGTTGATGCCAAATTCCCGTGTTGGATAAAAGATTTGAATTTTGGTTATTTATATAGCATAAAGATACCCTTACCCTTAAGAGACGTATTTTAAAGATAAAATTGTGCGAGCTTATCAACGGTCTAAGGAACTCACCGACCATGTGTTTAAAGACAACATAACAATACTTTATATAAATGACTTTGTACCAAGTCTTTATAATATTACTATTTTTGATAAGATTGTGATAGTATCATAGTATCATCTTGTCAACTTCGAGCATGGAAAAAACCAAAACATCTACTATAAAAAGACCTACGTTCACCCTTCACCAATTCAAACAGAAGCAAGATAATAAGCAAGATCATGGCCAAGACTGTTAAATCTATCCAGTTTTTTGCACTCTTCTTCATCTTCGTCCTAATTGCAAACTGGGGTGAGTGACTTGAGTTGTTTTGTATACATATATACTTCAAATACTGTTGTTGTTTTTTTCTTACTTTGTTTGATTGGATCGATGCAGGGACGATGGCAGAAGTGCAAGAAAATCTTTGTGAGAGGGCTAGCCAAACATGGTCTGGGAAGTGCGGCAACACTGCCAATTGTAACAATCAATGCAAGCAATGGGAGGATGCAAGAAGCGGAGCTTGTCATAAAAGAGGTGGCAATTGGAAATGCTTCTGCTACTTCAATTGTCCTCTCGACAAACATAATTAATAAATTATGCCCTTCTTGCTTAGGGTTGCTCGAACTTCTTGTTCGTAGTATAAAATAAGTGAGCTGGCTAGCCTAATAAAGTGTTTCTACGTTGAAACACCGACTGTGGTCTGATTAATCGCTGATTAATTCTGTACCTTCATCATCAAAGTATTCTAAATGAAATGCTTTATGATTAAGATATATAAAATATTACTTGGTTACTATGCTACCTGGTAGTCACTCTTTTTTTCCACTAAAATGCAAGATCATTCTGATGATAAATCTGATTTCAAGAGTATTAGATCTTCGTATTTAAGCTGATGATAGAGTCTTTGGACGTTACAAAGTTTTATATTATGGTTCAAGGATTCACAAAATCCAAACAGAGTTAAATTTTTGAAATTCTATGCATGCAAAAATGTTTTAATTATCGTTCACAACTATTTAAATAGCAATTACAAGATCAAATTGATGAAAAATGAGTCCAAATATCGCAACTGGAAAAGAACAAATTGTTGTGGTAACTCGGTAATTGTATTAAAGAATAAAGATTTCTAAAGTCTAAAGTCTAACCCTTGACAAGACCAAGAGCCGCGCTACACAAAAGAAACAAAAGGAAAGAAAAGCAATCCTTAAACACAAAACGGAGCAGCTAGCCAAACGGACAAGAAGAACATCCTTGGCTGCTGCAGAAACCAAAAAAACCATACTCAACCAATAATGGGTTAGCCAAGTGGTAAAGACGGCTAAGGGTTTGCTCCCTTATGATCTTAAGTTTGAATCACAAGAACGATTACTAATATTATTGGTGTTAAATGTGGAAGCCTGAAAACAGCGTCGTTTAAGTAACACTAATACGGCGTCGTTTTAGGCATATTCATTTGGGCAAATGCAGACCATAGGATTCGTTTCAGATTGGACGGCCAGGATTGATCACAGAGTCAACCATATAAAAGCTCATGTTACAGTCAGTCTTCAGAGAGAGAAAACGAAAGGGACTAGGGTTATTCTTTGAGTCGGCTATTTTCTCTGTGTTAGGGTTAAGATTCAATTCCAGATTGAGAGTAATCAGTCGAGTGATTAGGGGCTTTAATCATTCAGGTGAGAGTGTTGTTCTCTCGGGTTTGGGATATCCATAGGGTATCTTGTAAGGCTGAGTGCTGTTGTAAAACGGGTAGATCTGGTGAGTGTTGAATCTATGTAATCTTGACTATTCTTCTGGTAATCGTAGTGCAGCGAGCTCATACCTTTCTTGAGCTCAACGTGGATGTAGCTTATCCATAAAAGGATAAGTGAACCACGGTAAATCGTGGCTTGTTCTGTGTGTTTGTTTTTGTGGTGATCTTGTGTTTCTTGATTTGATTCTGTTGCGTGAGAAATCAGTTCTGCTACTTAGGTATAACAGTGGTATCAGAACCATTTTTTTTCTTGAAAGTAAAGTTCGTGTTATGGAAAATTTAGGGTTTCACGAAAAATTTAGGGTTTCCTAAATTAGGGTTACTTTCTGAAAAATTGGGGTTTCCGTAAGAGTCTCAAAAATTGAGTCCTAGAGAGTCATTCATTCTCTGACGAAATTAGGGTTTTGTGAATTTGGGATTCTTGTGTTAAAGAAACAGAAATTAGGGTTTCAAAAATTAGGGTTTCAAAATTAGGGTTTCGAAAATTGGGGTTTTTTTTGATTCGATTATTACCTTGAGTCCAGAATTGATTCTAGAGAGTCAAGCCTTGATAAAGTATAAGGGTATATCGGCTGGAATACCAGTGACCGCCTTAAAAACTGCCTGGCAGCAATTGGCAACTACTGGTGTAACAACGCCAAGTACTCCTTAGACTTTCCATTTGTTTTCTTTGTGTTTCTTTCTTTGTCATTACAGGAAAAATGAGCACCACCAGAATGGAGATATCCCAATATGATGGGAAGATCGACTTCGGCAGTTGGAAAAAGAAAATGAAGGCTCTTCTTTCACATAACAAAGTTGCAATTGCACTGGAAAAGGATCCCAAGAAATGGTCAGAGGAGAAACTGGAAAAGAAGGAAGAGATTGATGAAGAAGCTTATAACCTGATCGTGATGAATCTGTCTGACAGTGTTCTTCGGAAGGTAGATGGNGAGAAAGTCTTTTATATAAAGTGATATATCAAAATTACCAATGGCCACATGCATGGCAGCCATAGGCTATGCCATGGTAAAGTCTTTTCCAATTAATAATTTAAAGTACTGTTTTCAGTAGGGAAGGATCGACTTTTCAACTTATGTCTTCATAATTCCAATTTTTTTTTGGCTTATCTTCATTTACGACAAAAACAATGTAAAAAGATATCCAGTTGCCTTTTTTTTTTTTTTTTTGAAGAGAAAGTCTTTTATATAAAGTGATATATCAAAATCACCAATGGCCGCATGCATGGCAGCCATAGGCTATGCCATGGTAAAGTCTTTTCCAATTAATAATTTAAAGTACTGTTTTCAGTAGGGAAGGATCGACTTTTCAACTTATGTCTTCATAATTCCAATTTTTTTTTTTTTTTTTGGCTTATCTTCATTTACGACAAAAACAATGTAAAAAGATATCCAGTTGATTTTTTTATAGAGAATAATACTGCATTTATAAACTTGTATAGAAAGCCTTTCGTATAAAGTGATATATCAAAATATAATTGGGAGAATTTATATAAAAATCAATTTAATAAATACCTAAGAAATTATAGTAAGTAATATGCCAATACATGAATAGTATTATATCACTTTATGTTGATGTCAAACTTCCACATCAGCTAAAAGATGAGGATCTTGATCGTTTATATAGTATAATGACACTCTTATCACTTAAAGATGTTTTTTTTTTGGACAAAACTATGTAGACCTGTCAGTAGTTCAACTTATGATCCAAAATAGACAATATATCTGGAAACCCACCTACCATGTGATTAGAGATGACATAACAAAACTTTATATAGATGATTTTATATAAAGTTTTTGTAATTGTAATATTACTCTTCTGGGTAAGATTGTGATAGTGTCATCCTGTCAACTTCGAGCATGGAAAAAACCAAAACTTCTACTATAAAAAGACCTATGTTCACTCGTCCCCAATTCAAACAGAAGCAAGATAATAATTAATAAGCAAGATCATGGCCAAGACTGTTAAAGCTATCCAGTTTTTTGCACTCTTCTTCATTTTCGTCCTAATTGCAAACTGGGGTGAGTGACGTGAGGTGTTTTGTATACATATATACTTCAAATACTGTTGTTTTTTCTTACTTTGTTGGATTGGATCAATGCAGGGACGATGGCAGAAGTGCAAGAAAATCTTTGTGAGAGGGCTAGCCAAACATGGTCTGGGAAGTGCGGCAACACTGACCATTGTAACAATCAATGCAAGCAATGGGAGGATGCAAGGAGTGGAGCTTGTCATAAAAGAGGTGGCAATTGGAAATGCTTCTGCTACTTCAATTGTCCTCTCGACAAACATAATTAATAAATTATACCCTTCTTGCTTAGGGTTGCTCGAACTTCTTGTTCGTAGTATAAAATAAGCGAGCTGGCTAGCTTGCTAATAAAGTGTTTCTATGTTGAAACACGGACTGTGGTCTGATTAATGGCTGATTAATTCTGTACGTTCATCATCAAAGTATTCTAAATGAAATGCTTTATAATTCAGATATATAAAATATTACTTGTTTACTATGCTACCTGGTAGTCACTCTTTTTATCCATTAAAATGCAAGATCATTCTGACGGTAAATCTGATTTCAAGACTATTAAGATCTGCGTATTTAAGCTGATGATAGTCTTTGGACGTTACAAAGTTTTATATTATGGTTCAAGGATTCACAAAATCCAAAAAGAGTTAAATTGTGAAATTCTATGCATGCAAAAATGTTCTAATTATCGTTCACAACTATTTAAATAGCAATTACAAGATCAAATTGATGAAAAATGAGTCCAAATATCGCAACTGGAAAAGAACAAATTGTTGTGGTAACTCGGTAATTGTATTAAAGAATAAAGATTTACAGTCTAAAGTCTAACCCTTGACAAGACCAAGAGCCGCGCTACACAAAACGAGCGAAAGGAAAGAAAAGCAATCCTTAAGCACAAAACGGAGCAGCTCCGCTGCAGAAACAAAAAAAACCATACCCAAATAATAATGGCGTGGCCGAGTGGTAAAGACTTAAAGCCAAAAGGTTTGCTCCTTTATGGTCTTAGATTCGAATCACAAAAACGGTTATTAATACTGTTAGAATAGACGGTAGGATTTTCCCTATTTCAAACGGTTACTAATATTGTTGGCATGGACGGTAAGATTTATTCTATTTCAAAAGCTTTGTTCGGGATTAAAAGACTTATCGAGATACACATAAGCTAGCTCAAATACCCCCGTAACCAAAAAAAAAATACCCTTTACACGGACAGCAAAGGACTAACTAGACGCAGCACTATACAGCTGCTGCCCACACTAACTTGCAAAACCAGACTGCAAAAACCAGCAAGAGAAGGCAGCCGCCGGCTGAAAGGGACTGCACCACCACCTCAGTTAGCAATTAGAAGGAAACACCAACTTCCATATCCCCTCACCTTAACCAACTGGAAAAATACAGTAGTTGGCTGCTGCTGCATTAGGAACCACCCAGTTTTGCAACGATATCAACAAAACAAGTGACAACTTTAATAGACCCTAAAGAGTCTATACAGAAAGAGCCGAGAAAAAAAGTCACAAGGAACAAACTGGATAAGAACAAATTTTTAAAAAGAACATAATACGGAGTTCAATGTCGCAATATAAAAAACAAAAAACGTTATCATGTATCTATATTAACTCATAGAACGACACATAAATTTCTGAATTCCGATAGGGAGGCAGACAGGCCAGCTGCTTCTACAAAACCTGATACGTGTACATGCATGCATCAAATGGTTTTGATCTGTCCAAATCTTGATATTAATTTGAAGATGTAACCTTCACTATTCATGTGACGACTCTAGTATAGCTTGAGCACCTTTTTTTGACTAAATTGTATGGTTTCGATCTGTCCAAAAAATGAAACCCACGTCTATTCGGAACCCGATTCATAGAAAACTCGCAAAAGGATTGTACTAGTGCAGAACAAATGGCACCCTCTCACGGGAAAGTTTGGACGTTACTGCTTAAAAATATCCAAACTTCCCTTCCTTTATCTGTTAGCTGGCTAGCATCCAAAGTATCTGATCGTGTATATAACATTCAACTAGTGAAATCATTTAAAGCTGAGACCCTGATCGATCGGCTTATAATTGTTGACTAATTTATGAATTGTGGATAAATCTTTTTACCAATGGCTACGTTCATGGCAGCCATAGGCTATGCCATGGTAAAGTCTTTTCAAATTAATAATGTTAAAGTACTGTTCTCAGTTGGGATGCCGGGATGGATCGACTTTTCAACTCATATCCCCATAATTTCAATTTTTTTTTTTTTTTTTTGGCTTATCTTCATTCACGACAAATAAACGATATCCAGTTGCATTTTATTTTTTTAAAGATAAAGTCTTTCATACAAAGTATCAAAATTATCAATGGCCACACCCAGGTAAAGTCTTTTTCAATTAATAATGTTAAAGTACTGTTCTCAGTGGGGAAGGATCGACTTTTCAACTTATGTCTCCATAATTCCAATTTTTTTTTGCTTCTCTTCATTCACGACAAAAACAATGTAAAAAGATATCCAGTTGCCTTTTTTTTTTTTTTTTTTAAGAGAAAGTCTTTTATATAAAGTGATATATCAAAATCACCAATGGCCGCATGCATGGCAGCCATAGGCTATGCCATGGTAAAGTCTTTTCCAATTAATAATTTAAAGTACTGTTCTCAGTAGGGAAGGATCGACTTTTCAACTTATGTCTTCATAATTCCAATTTTTTTTTTTTTTTTTGGCTTATCTTCATTTACGACAAAAACAATGTAAAAAGATATCCAGTTGATTTTTTTATAGAGAATAATACTGCATTTATAAACTTGTATAGAAAGCCTTTCGTATAAAGTGATATATCAAAATATAATTGGGAGAATTTATATAAAAATCAATTTAATAAATACCTAAGAAATTATAGTAAGTAATATGCCAATACATGAATAGTATTATATCACTTTATGTTGATGTCAAACTTCCACATCAGCTAAAAGATGAGGATCTTGATCGTTTATATAGTATAATGACACTCTTATCACTTAAAGATGTTTTTTTTTTGGACAAAACTATGTAGACCTGTCAGTAGTTCAACTTATGATCCAAAATAGACAATATATCTGGAAACCCACCTACCATGTGATTAGAGATGACATAACAAAACTTTATATAGATGATTTTATATAAAGTTTTTGTAATTGTAATATTACTCTTCTTGATAAGATTGTGATAGTGCCATCCTGTCAACTTCGAGCATGGAAAAAACCAAAACTTCTACTATAAAAAGACCTATGTTCACTCGTCCCCAATTCAAACAGAAGCAAGATAATAATTAATAAGCAAGATCATGGCCAAGACTGTTAAAGCTATCCAGTTTTTTGCACTCTTCTTCATTTTCGTCCTAATTGCAAACTGGGGTGAGTGACGTGAGGTGTTTTGTATACATATATACTTCAAATACTGTTGTTTTTTCTTACTTTGTTGGATTGGATCGATGCAGGGACGATGGCAGAAGTGCAAGAAAATCTTTGTGAGAGGGCTAGCCAAACATGGTCTGGGAAGTGCGGCAACACTGACCATTGTAACAATCAATGCAAGCAATGGGAGGATGCAAGGAGTGGAGCTTGTCATAAAAGAGGTGGCAATTGGAAATGCTTCTGCTACTTCAATTGTCCTCTCGACAAACATAATTAATAAATTATACCCTTCTTGCTTAGGGTTGCTCAAACTTCTTTTTCGTAGTATAAAATAAACGAGCTGGCTAGCTTGCTAATTAAGTGTTTCTCTGTTGAAACACCGGCTGTGGTTGTTAATTAATTATGTACGTTCATCATCAAAGTGTTCTAAATGAAATGCTTTATGATTCATATATATATAATATTACTTGTTTACTATGCTTCCTAGTAGTAGTCACTCTTTTTATCCACTGAAACCCAAGATCATTCTGATGATAAATCTGATTTCCAGAGTATATTAAGATCTGCGTATTTAAGCTCATGATAGAGTCTTTGGACGTTACAAAGTTTTATATTATGGTTCACGGATTCACAAAATTAATGACTTTAAACCATATACATATTTAGAAACCATATAATGTTATTTCGCTCCATTATACAATATTAAATAAAGTGATGAAATATGAGCCCCTATATCGCAACTGGAAAAGAACAAATTGTTCGAAAGAACATAATATGGAGTTCAATGTCGAAACAAGAAAGTAAAAATAAAAAACGTTATCTTCAACAAAAGATGTATCTATATTTTTTCTAATATTTCTCTACTACCATAATGTATAAATTCCTATATGGCCACACACTGGACAGTTCTCACGTGCATATACGAACTTCAGAGTGTTTATATTTGATGTTTTGAGTAGCATTGAGTTAATGATAAACACATAAATTTATGAAGAAAAATATTACACTTATAATCACTTCTTATAACTTTATTATAATTTATTAGTTTATAATGAATCTTATCTGAGTTCTATCCGATAAATTATAATTAATTAATTATAAACTGTTATATTAGAATTAGAGAGAGTGTTTATGAAAAAAAATTGTAAGCTAGCATTATCCATTACAATAGGAAGGACGACAGGCGAGCTGCTTCTGGAAAACGTGATGAGAAGTTGCGAACCGTCCACTAAGTAAAATACGTGTCCATGCATGCATGATATGGTTTTGATCTGTCCAAATCTTGATATTAATTAGAAGATGTAAATTCACTATTGATGCGACGAATCTAGTATTGCTTCAGCACGAATATATTGACCAAATTAATCGTGTTCATTGTATGGTTTCGATCTGTCCAAAAAATGAAACCGACATCTTCAAAGTTAGGTCATAGACTGACAAAAGGGTTGTACTAATGGCAGAACAAGGGCAACCACTCACAGGAAATTTGGAGCTTAAAAATTTGTGTTTTCTTTTATTATTTTAAATAATATTTTTNCCCCCCCCATTAACAGCCTCCACACTACCACCGATTTACTATCAAATCATCACAGAAAAACTATGCTTAACAGCCTCCACACTACCACCTATTATTGTTGGAATAACAAACCAGGACTGTTATTTACCTGGTCTTCAGCAAAGAAGTGGCGTGTGACCTGGTCTTTAGCAAGTATTACTAGTTAAGTTGTAGTTGTTAATTTGACCAATTCTTTCTCCTGTTTTATCGAAAGTAGTTGTTGTTTTGTTTACTTAAAATTCTATAAATGTAACAAGTATTTTTATTGAATAAAATAATGAGATTAGATTGTTGTTTGACGTCTTACTCATTGAGAGCACTTTCAGTTTTATCAATACTTACTTTTGTTCATACATCTCTTAAAGGCAACAGTGGTATCAGAGCTTTGTTGCGATCTGGCAACTATGGCATCCAATCTGGTGCAACTTCAAGTTCCGCTGCTGAAAAAAGACAATTTTGGGAGATGGTGTACCCAATTCAAAGCTTTATTTGGATCACAAGATTTGTGGGATATTGTCAACTTGGGGTTTACTGATCCTACTCCAGAAGAAGAAG